CACCACTATAGACTACCAATATGCCATGGTATACAGAACACTATACGATATTAGTAAATGCGCAATGCACCACACCACACTAGACTACCAATATATCATGGGATATACGGTATTATACGATATTAGGGAATTCGCAACACACCGCACACACCACTATAGACTATCAATATGCCATGGTATACAGAACACTATAAGATATTAGTAAATGCGCAATGCACCACACCACACTAGACTACCAATATACTATGGTATACAGAACACTATACGATATTAGTAAATGCGCAATGCACCACACCACACTAGACTACCAATATACCATGGTATACAGAACACTATAAGATATTAGTAAATGCGCAATGCACCACACCTAACTAAGATATTGGTAAATGCGCAATGCACCACACCCAACTAGACTACCAATATACCATGGTATATACGGTATTATCAAATAATAGTGAATGCGCAACACACCACGTCTCCGCTTTCAATTTTTTCTACCAAACTGTACCAAAGTGTTTTTGTCCCCACTTTAATGAATTTGGTACAAGTGCAATATACAAGTAAAATACCAAGGAAACATGTTCAAGCTCTCTCTAACTGAACAGCAATGTAAGTAAAGTTGTACATACATGGACTTATTTATTCTTAATTATTTATGCATATAACTGCGTCATGCTAGGCGTGCACTGTGTCAATTTTACGATGTGCTGTGTATATATATATATGTGTGTGTGTGTGTGTGTGTACAAAAAGCATGACCTTTTGTCCTTATCAACAATATTAAACGAAAAACATTATTTCACAACATTAGTGTAAATACCCATTGAAAACAATTCTATAAAAATTTTAATTCATTCCCATTTGTTTTGGACTCATGAATTATTAATGAGTTTGATAAAGTTATATACCACCTGTAGAAGTAATTTGATAATGATAATTTTGTACTATACATAACTCACCATGTGACCAAATCAGAATTCTTATATATTACATATTGCCTATTGTCAAGCACAAGGAAAATAAAATATTATTATGATGCATTAAAATAATAACAATAAAAGGAAAATAATATCAAATTTTGTGTAATGTGTAGTTCCAGAAATTATCCATACCCACCCCCCAGAGGAATTTGGAATTTCTGAGGAGTGGGAAGTCAGAGAAAGAACAAAAGTACAGAGTTGCAAAATTGGAATTTCCAGGGGTAGAGCAGGTTGCTTTTTCCATGAGGGGAGGTATGGAGAATTTTTGGAACTACACATTGTTTAAAAAAAAATTTCAAGACTTTGCAAGCTTGTTAGTTTTCTCACACAAGAAACACGAATTGCAGACTAGTGTTGAATAATAAGAAATATTTCTTTAAAATACCATAAAATAACCTACAGGCTGATCAAAGTTAGTGCACAGCAAACTCACAGATCTTGTGATCCCATTAAATCCCCTCTAAAAAGACTTTTCTCTACTTCAAGTTTTGAATTAACTAGAATTCTTATCCTTGTAATATCATAATTACCCTTTCCACAGACCCCTGCTCTTGAAGCAAGTCTGAAAGCATTGTAGGGTCATAATTTGGAAACATTCTACACAACTGGACTAATTCATCACCTCCTTCTACATCTATTTCTTGTGAATCAAAGTCTCTCCAGCCACTTGCCTCATGGCTCAAGTCTATAATAACAATGATAAGATACAAATCATGTATAGGCCTTGTTTGGGAAAATTTGACAAATATATTATCAACTAAAAGATGTGCATGCCTTACATACCTTCGTCTTGTCTTGAAAAGGTTTGTCCAGAGGATAAGGTACTTTGATTGCTAAATCTTTCATCCCAATGTCTTGAAAATAAGTATAATGTACAAAGCTAGCTGATTTGTGGGCACACAACAGCAATTAAGAGAACAAATATGCTGGAAATGTTAGACTACATTGATTAGAAATTGAAACAAAAGTATCAGGTGAGTCTACCACTTTATTTACTTTAATTCCATTTGTTTTCATTAGCACCTTATTCCCTTTATCCATTTATTACTTCCATTTGTTTCCATTGCCATTCCACATTTCATTGAAAACAATGAAAATGAGACTAAAAATAATTCCAGATAGATTGACAAACCCTATGTCGTATCTCATTTACCAGTAATTTAATAATTAGTAATATCTAAAATATTGGATTCCATAAAGAAAGAAAGATTGAAAAACAGGGTAAAACTATGTGAATGAAGGCAATTCTACTCAAGTGAAGTGCCAGATACTAGTGTTTGATCTGATACCTCAGTGAGTGAAGACAGCCATGAAAATTTGATCTTAGACTCAAATTTATTCTTATGCTGCACTGTAACAGAGACAGCAAATTACTCTCCTGTGCATCCATCATAAAGATCACCATTGGAAGGACAGTGGTGAGACGACAGCCCAACAGGGTCGAACTGAAAGGATGCCTTTCATGGGCATAGCAAGGATTTTCCGAAGGGGAGGGGTAAATTCATAAATTCTCCAGTTAAAAATTAAAGTTACCATATAAATTCTTAAACGCCACCATTTTGTTGCCAAGAGGTAAGGGGGGGGGG